ATGTTGGTCAATCGCCTGAAAGAATCTCAAGGCAATCAGCAGCGATTGGCTAACGAGCTGACCAGTCTGCGTGACAAGTATGATGAGTGCTTGTCTCTGTACAACGAGGCTCGGGTAAGGAGTGAATAACGTCCATGCAGTTCACTAAAGTCCATGTACCGCTGCCTGTATCCCTAACCATACTTTTCTCCCTGCGTTTCAGTCCGAAGTTCGGGCCCTTCGTAAACGATCCCGTCGGGCCCACCTCCGATCGGCTTATTTATCTTCCCCAAGTACGATGACCAGTTATTCTACGCCCCCGTATTTGTTCTGCATGGACTCAAACACCGTATCCTGTTCGACCCACGCCCAGGCCAGTGATGGGAGCAGCTCCTCGGTGGACACAACGACCAATTGCACTGCAAACGACCTCATTGGAGAAACTTCCCTGGCCACTGACTTAGCTCGAACGGCAGCGAACGATTGTGCCAACTCCAATGTGTGAGTACCCGCTTCCAGAGTTTCCCCACGTGGCTAGCCACCATAACCACGGTGTTTTTTTCGTAGAGTCAGCCATCCGTGATTGAGCGATTGCCCGCTGGTGCCGATACACACAGTTTCGGCTAGTTTCGCCTCCAACTGAGCATCTAGGTTTAGCAGGCAAAACGCTTCCTGGACAACCCCACTGTCGTTGAAGGGGAGTGTCAGAAGATATGGGAACCAACAGCTACTGCTCTTCTAGCGTCTTCACTTCAGACGATCGACAGTTTGAATTGAACATTGACAGTGGCCTCACCTCACCACTTGAGCAACAACCTGCGGCCGGTCTTGATTGTGCACTGCAACTTCAGACCACCAAAATGTCAGTGATCTTGATTTTTGTTAGGGATGTGACCTTCATAGTCAGGTATCGTCCAGTCAAACAAAGCCCGTAAGTGCCGCATCAACAACCTGTTGGCTCTTTCTCAAGGAGTCTGGAGTTGTGTTTCGGCGCGTGTACCTAGACGAGGAGTAAACTCGTAATGTACAAGCTGGTAAGAGGAACCCAAAGTCCTTAAAACCGTGGTGTTCAAGTGGTTGATGATGTCGAACCTTATTTCCCACAAGACAACTTTGCTTCCTTCGAAGCAAGCTCGGGTTACGCCCTTCGTTATTCCATCAATTCTGCATAATCTACAACAGAGGTTAAGCTCATTTCTTCAGGTGTCCGATTTCATTTTTGGCCTGTGTGTTGATCCCCTTTCTTTCTTCCCAGCCGTCTTTATAAAGCCGACTGAGCAGTATTTATTATCGTCCTTTATTTGAGTCGATATTCGAGTGCAGTGTGGAATCCGCCCTGTGAACACTGTTCCATTCTGCTCCTAGTGATCGATTATTTCGAGCGATGGATCAAGCTCGACACGTGCGCGAGGGGTGTGACGCTGCGTCGTCACGTGATCAGCCTGCGCGACCGGACTACGCACATGATGACAACGTGTCTAGCAGCGGATTCGTCAGCGGATCTGGTGAGTAGCTGGAGCGTTTTTTTTTCTGCACAAAAACAACCAATCACCCTTTTCGAGAAATACACTCATTTGCAAATCAATCTGATGTTTCACGAGGGACTCAACTGAATCTCTCGTTTATGATACTCTACAACTGAATGTGCTGCACACAGGCCGTCTCATGATTCAGTTGGCACGATATTCGAGATATCGCAGTATATTTTC